CATTATCTTCGCTTTGCAAACCAATAGCCGAAACTATTTGAAAAATAATCCTAGCGAGTTCGATCTATGCGATTTAAGAACTATTAAACTGTATATCAACGATGATTTTTTTATCACTAGATGCGCATAGGATTGGACAAGGATGGAGTGCATATACAGGATTTCTTCGAAATGTAAAAAATTTGAAAAAATGTATTTGGAGCGTCATCCTATTTTATGCATTACTAATTGTGATGAAAAAGATCCGTTCGTCATCTTCGATTTGTCACGGCGAGAACAGCCAACGATCGCCTCTGCATCAGATAACAAAATCTTTTTCGAATGTAATTCGAAACACAACGAATACGTCTACTTTTGTCCATTTTTTACGAACGCCACATGGATTATTATCCAATCACAGCACTAGTTCGCAAAGTATAAATATCATGAGAAATGTACGCAGGCACTCTCACTGTCGAGTTGTCTTCAATCATGAACACGTCGGATGAGAATAGTATTGTGCGGACCTCTTCTCCATCATGAAGTCATATCTCTTGGCGAAGAAGAAAATTCGGAAATGAAGACGATGTTGCAAGAGAAAAAAACAGATTAATGTTCTCATCTTTGCATGAAACTCTAAGTCATTTCATACGTCAAAGGAGAAAACTATTAAAAAACAAAAGCATTAAATTCATCAGTAGAAGTAAGCATCGTCCACCTCCATAAGACAGAGGAAGTCTCTGTCATCTCCTCCTTCGCAAACATCATCTACCGATACTTTGCGTTTATGTTATAAAATCAATGTTCGACTTTGCAATATATTTAAAAATTAAACTACTTTTTGCCAAACTCTAATAAAGTTTTCCGTGTTTTCTGTAATTTTAAGTCTTCGAACGGATAAATTAAAATTAGGTAGACAATATTGTTTATACCAAATGGTTTAGATGATATAAAGCATCCACTTCCATCATGTCAATGAATGGTGTGAATTTAAAATATCATAATATACATATATTTATAATTAATATTAAAAATATTGATTAAAAAAGAAAATTAAATTAGAATAATAATCACAATGCACCTTGTTGGTAAAAAAGTACTATATTTCTCACTAAGAGTTATTGTATAATTATGCGTGTTAAAGCGATCGGATGTGTATCGCTTGGCATTTGTATTCTTGAACGCCACTTCTTTCGAGAAGGTCTCCCTTCTATTCCTCCTCTTTTCTATTCATATGGGAGCCTTCAGCCCTCTGTGTGATGGCTTCCCCAATGTTTCTAAATCAAAACAAACGAATCATTTATTTTTGAACATTTTTCTTTCAATCTCACAAATTTCATTCATTCTACTTACGTTTCATTGGGCGGTACGTGTATAAACACCGGACATAGCATATTAGGGCCGAGACACGTCACCGATTCTTCACTGATATTTACAGTCGAAGAAACATCTGACGCCTTGATATTCGTAAATTGGGACGTCACCACCCTCAATTTATATTCATCTATATCAGAGGACAGTTCGACTAACACCAACGATGCCGCCTTTGCTGCGGTCAGCGCTAAATTTAGGACGTCCTTCTCCTCCTCCTCCTCCTCCGCGTCACTATTCGACAGATCCATAACAAGGATGCCGACTCCCAACATCCTAGTGTCCAGCATTTCCCTTCGAATGGCGTCGTTTGTGCTTGAAAATAAAAATAAATTTATAATGTAAATATATATCAAAGTATCGATAAAATAAATGAAAAAGGAATGTTAAATACTTACGGTGGGTTCCTCGTCATTCGCATCTGTGTTGCTGGAACAGCAAACGCATGCTCTTCGCAAACAATTTCAAGAATTTCAGCCATTATTTCATTCAAGAGTAGCAGTCTTAACAAATAGCCACACCAATATCAGCAGCAGCACCAGTTGCGACAAGAGGTTCGTACTGACAATTTTTATACTGCGATTTCTTTCTCATTTATTTCAAGTGAACGATTTCCTTTTTCCCTGTTGTAGCGTCGTCATTATCGTTTCCGTTGTCGTTTACTGGTGTGATCCTTCTTCCTTGTTCCTTCATAGAATGTCGGCATTTGCACTTCCGTTGTTGTTTTCCTGGTGTGAAGTTTCCGGGTGCGAGATTTATATTGTCCCTGCAGTGAAAAAGAAGTAATACAGATATTGGTTTAAAAACCGTGTAACGGACATACGTGTTTTTGAACGCATTTATACACTTCCAAGAACTATTTTCTCTATAAAGAAATTCAGACATGCGAAAAGTTTGAATTATTAGTGAAAGTGTTGCGAAAATTGTGAAAAACATCAAAATTCATCGTCGATAACAGTAACAGAAAAACTTGAACTTTGTGTTTCAAATAGTCGAATATAAAAGTGGCCTCACAATAGTTAAAGTATAGTAATATAATTGTACTGATTAGTTTGCAGCCTAGATCTATTATTTTAAACACATTGAAATTATTTCAAATTTAATTAACCAATCACATTTACTAATTTCAATCACACACTGTTATTTGTCATACAAATACGTGATTTAAATTAAATAATTTAATACACTTAAATTAAAAGGATGTTGGTTTAGGAGACATTTTCTTCATTAGTCTGTCATCTATCTATTTATTTATTCTTAGATTTACCACGCACTTTGATACGCATTCATGAGATAGCTACAATTCGCTATATACTCTCAAAGTCGACTTTCTGAAAGCCTTCACGCGTATAAACAATAATTGATCTTAACATATCCGAAAGCTCGAAGAGGTCGTTCAAAATACACACGGTTGGACAACAATAAGCAACACCGCAGAAACTTCCAACCATTATTCCGCGAAAGCAAAAACACAATCATCACTACCAATCATGACTTAAAACAGATTTTCTGCTTTAAATTAAGACAATGAGTTTCATCGCCTTCCCAATCCTCACTTCCCTCTCTCATAAACCAACAGGGTAGCACACGCAAAGGAACAAGCACACGTAGAGTTGCGTAACCTGACCCACAATTAAACAAGGACACTCCCACTGAGCCCATCAAAAACCTACTGATTTTAGCAGATAGACATGGGCAACAAATTTCCCCCCTGTTCAGTGGGAAACTTCCATCCAGATTCTCGTTCACGGGTACGTTCAAATCTACCGGGAGGTTTGCCGAGGTAACCATTGAGTTGGACACGCACACAAAAACTCTCACCAAACGGGACACAGTCATCAGCATAGGAGGGCAGAATGACATCAACTTGGGTGGTCACTTTAAACCTGAACAACATGTTGACAAATTACAACGTGCCGCCCAAAACATGATCATTATGGTCTCGAATCCGCCCTTCTGGTACAACAAAACAACACTGTGCATAGGAATTAAACACGCAAACAACCAATTGAAACTGCATCTGAGAGATACACGTGTCAAATTATTTGAGCTAAACTCTCGCAGAAAAACACTTCACCCGACATGGTCTTCATCTGAACTTTGCCGAAAAACATGCACTTGGTAGCGAGCTTGCAAAGCACATCCTTTCACAACCTCAGCAGGGTCCTACCCAACACACATCCACATCTCCTAGTTCTCTTCCATCCTACGATACCTCTTTGGACCATATTACCTTATCTCCTGAACCAAATCATTGTACTACCTCTCCCATTATTGATTTGTCGCCCCTGCTTCCTCGTCTCCTGTCACTGCTGGAGTACAACGTTTGATTGTTAAAAGATATAAATTTGAAAGCTACTTGGACTGTTTATTTTAAATTCACATTAGAATTGTAACGTTTCTCCGTGGTGAATTAAAACCAACAGAATATTTAAACAAAAACGTTTATTCGTGAACAATTATACATTAAAATCTACTTGGTCTATTTACAGATATATTACACTTAATTATTTTTCTTTACATACGACTCCCTTCTCTTGATGATTTATTTACACAGTTCACTTCTTACACACTATTTATTTATACTGTTCTCTTCTTCTACAGTATCAGCCAGTCCGATGCACTGTCCACGGTCCACTGCACTTGACCCCAATTCCCTGCACAGACCACAATTCCTCTGCGCAGACCACAATTCCTTGCGCAGACCACACTTCACTGCGCACACCAGGGTCCACTGCACTGCTGTTTACCGCGATGCCCACTTCACAGCTCAGCTTCCACTGCAGACTTCAGACTGCTGACTGCTGTTCACCCACTGCACCACTCTTCACCGCAATGCACATTTCACAGCACAGCTTCCATTTCGGACACACTGACGGACTGACTGCTTCTCTGCTACTCACTGACGTCTTACTACCCACTGACTTCTACTCACGTCTGACTTGCGGCCGCCGGCAGCGGCGCATTTATACCTGCCCGGCGCTTGTCTCCAGGCACCCGGCACCACCCGGCACATTCTCGGCGTTTCCCCGCGGCTCGCGAATAGCCCGGAACCGTCTACTTCTGGGGGAAGGGAAGGGGCGCCGGCAGATGACGCAATCCACGCGCAGCGAATTCGGCAGGTGATGCAATATTCGTAACAGAATTGAGAAACAAAGTTGTATACGGCCCAAAATTCATATTAACTATTCATTTGTTCAAAAAAGGCGTGCGTTGTGCGACGACAAACGCTACTGGTTTAGATTTAGATTTATTCAGTCAAAAAAACAATAAAAACTGTATGTGACGTGTGGGGGAAAAGATTATCTGGTTAGGTAAATTTACACTTTACCCTGGGGTCGTTTCCACATAATCCGTTCGCTCCTTCAGCGGACACGTTCCTTGCTACAGGAGGGGTTGTAAAGTAAGCCTTTTCTATCTATTTATTGCTTTCTTATTTCATTCTATTTATAATTATGATTCATTAAGGAAAAAATGGCAGCTTTCAAACATTCAGGCTTTAAAGAGAGAGAGAGAGAGAGAGAGAGAGAGAGAGAGAGAGAGAGAGAGAGAAAGGTGGGGGAAAAGAAGCAGTGGTAGTGGGAGAAGCATTTGCACACGATTCTGGCGACAACATTCAGTCAGCTTCCACCATCACGGCAAGACGAAACATGACATTCGCCTCTAAAAACATCGCCGACGACAGCAGATGGAAGAGCGAGCAGCCAAAATGTGGAAAAACCTCGAGAACGTCGCCAATGATCTCGTCGCTGCCGACACCGAGGGAAAGGAAGAAGGAGAAAAAACTGTGAAGGTGTGGAAAGTTATCTCCGACATGGCGACTTCAAGATATTACAGAGAAAATGAAAAGACTATTCATGTCGTTTTCATGCATGCTGAAGTACATGAATACTTATGGAAATTCTCAGCTGTATTTTTAAAAATCCGGTTCGGAGGGCGTCAATACAACAACGCGTTCTTCTCATACGTCAAGTGATTCAGACTCTCCCCTCCCCTAATTTACCCTCCGTCGCCACCAAGCAGGCATTCCGCAGCGATACCTCCATCCCTAGTCGATCAGTTTTTTTCTTAGTTGGGTAGACAGGACAGAGGGGAACGAGAGTGTGCAGAAGAGACGGAGCGGGGGGGGCATCTGCAGCGTGAGATGGGCAACAGCTGATTGGAGCCCAACGACCTTGTGACGCCATACCGCCGTATGTTGATATCGGTTAACCACATCCGTAGCAAAATGTAAACATCCGTCCCAGAACAAACTGTTTCCCTCTTATATGGCAAAAACATGCTCCTGACAAATTGCTAAAACAAGAACAAGTGCTTTCAGACATGAGTTGCAAGTTAAGCTTAAGATCCTGTATATCATAACTCTGTTTCAATTTAATTTTATTTGTTTCGTCAACTTAACAATTATCTGACTGAAAGAATTATGAAAAACAACAAAATAATTTATACTATAAGAAAAACATATTTTGATATTTTCTCAGCGCCAATTTAAATTGCAAAGTTTGTTGGTTTTTTTAAAAAGAAAAATAACAAAAAAAGATTCCTGTCTTAGAACTTTGGAATAAGCTTGAAAAAAAACTCAAAAGTTCTTCTTAAAACACAAAACGTGATTTTTTAGATTTTTTAGATTGCTGAGCTGTAGTTAAACAAATTAAACAAACATTTTACCATTTTAATTACAGATTACAAAGGCATCGTCTGTCAGAAGACGCAACTAGTGCAATCATAATGGGACGGCGGGTATCACAACGAAGGTCGCTTGACAAGGCACTACTGCGGACAATTCTCAATGCAAGTGTGTGCTGCAAGTGTGAAGTTATTTAGGTGTATGTATAAAACCTTTAAATATATTTTGTAACTCCATATCATACATGTTCAATCCATTAAATTTAGTGTTTCATTGAAAAATGTGTTTTTCTTCATTTTTACCCAAAGTAGTCTGTTAGATTACGCCTTTGTAATAACGTTTAGTACAGATCGCCTTTGTAATTTAGGTTTAAATCCCACACACTTTGAAATGGCTGCAACAGTTCTGTGCATCTATTTGAGAGATTTTTATACATTTGTAATGAAAATTGTTATGTTGTCCATAAAAACAAGATTCGCTTTTACAATAACAGAAGAGTGAAATTACTCTAATACCATTGAATATAACAGAAAATATTCCGTAGAGATAACAGGTTCGCTTTTTTCTCAGCGTACACTTGGCATCAACATATAACATAGAAAAACATACAAAATATAATATAATAATAGTACTTTATGCAATTAGTTTATAATGTTAAGCTTTATTTCAAGTTCACATGTTTTGAAAACGAGCGACGTTAGAAGCGAGTCTTCAAATTTGTACGAATGCAATAAAGCAACATTATAAACAAGTTGCATACGCTATATTTTGTATAACAGCATTATACATTTATAAGAGAATCAAACTTAATTTGCGAAACAACTTCCCTTTGACGACTCAGGTATTTGCCATCGTGCGAGAAAACGGTTGTCGGCTGTACCGTTCACCGCTACCTCTTCATGATTCTCTCACTGCGTTAGTCTGAATGTGTAATGACGCAATCATTTGTGCCGTAAAATGCCCTTTTATGAACGATTTCTTGGAACAGAAAAGGTCGTTTATAATGATGGTACACAAAAGACTTTTACTCAACGTCATTCGTATATTTTCACTTCTTCACTTTTTCAAAAATTGTGAACACACAGTTTTTGGTCTTTAACACACTGTACGTTCACGCTAGAATTGCCGGATCCCAGAAATGTTAGTCAGTGACTGATTTGAATCCGTACGTTTCGCAGCGTTAACAAATTTCTTCTTTTGAAAATCCAGTAAAAAATCGTATTACATGCACAAAGACCAAATGTTTAACCGTTCGCCGACTACGCTTCCATAGATTATAAGTAAAGCTGGAGAACATGATTTCTGTCGTTTCGCGAGAAACGTTGTTTCGTGCGAAGCACCTGTTTTTCGGGATGCGAAACTCTAACTAGTGGTGCTAAAACAGCATATACTTTCTCGCCCCAAAGAAAAGGTTATGTTATATCGCATTGCTGTCTATATCAACACATCTCAGTCAATGAGCGCTAATGCACGCAGCGATGGGCGCTGCCAGCAATGAGCAAATATTTTCTTATAAATTCTTGCTAAAAGCGCCATTTTTGCAATTTGTTCTATTTTTATATTAGATCCCTCAGCTGCGAATCGTTGTCCATACAATTCAAATATGGTTACAAATATTTTAGATATAGGTCCGGTTGCATAAAGCTTTCCATATGGGTTCCATAGCTATGGGTTCAATAAAATTTGTAGGCTCCATAGGGCGTGCAACATTGCATAAAGCAAATTTATGGAATCTATAACTATAGATTCTATACGATCTTGAGAATGCGAAATGCAACCAATATATAGAGACACTCTCGATATTTGAACACTACTTATTCCTTACAGCGTTTTGCACGTTCTGAGCATGTGTTAGGTTCTATTGAGATGTTTTTGGTTGTGTTTCTTAATACGGTCTCAGAAGCAATTTCCTTTTATTTCATTATTTTCATTTTAGTTCATTTTTTTGTTTCATTCTTATATTATTTTAAATACAATTAATTCTTTATATTAGCCGTTGCCTATTTGTATTTAAATTAATTTACCTCCCATTCTTAAATTTAAGATTTCTTTTTTATTTTTGCTGATGCAATTAATAATAAATTAAATTTCATAATGAACTACTATTCAAATCCCTTTGAAATATAAACTAATAATTAATTTGCTTATATAATGTAAATTAATAATTAATTTTTAATTAAAAATATAAACTAACAATTAATTGGTACATATGAATGCAAGTACAGCCCTGAAGTTAAGGCATTTAATTTACCAAATACACGCAAGCAATAATTTCCCTAAATATGTCATGAGTTTAAAAAAAATTAATCCGAGCGTGATCATTTAAATTATTCAAATTTCATTCGTAATAGTAATATTAATACTAGCACTTACAGGGACACATTTTCATCATTGGTTCATCAATAAATTTTGTTATCTTCATTGATTATCTATTTATTGGAATGAAATCTTTTCACAACTGAAAATTATTCTTTATGACACACCAAATTTCAGCATGATGACTGCAAATTAAATTAACTTATGATTCTACGGAGGGTTAAACGTAAGCCTATTCTTTTACGAATCTTTGAATCATAGCGTAATTGAAAAACTATTGTTTTCATTCATTGGACTCAGTTATGTACAAGTGCATTATACAATCTGGCTTTATTGTATCATGTATTCAAAAAATACAAAAATCTGTGTCATCAAAAGAGGTTGGATGCCACACGTAAGCATTGGATGGAAGTTTATTGATATTGGTGCTTGGTGAAAAAGAATTGAAGAAAGGAAGAAGACAAAATATTATAGCAAAAATTAACATATTTTTATAACCAAATTTAATCCTTCTCGTCACAATACATGCAAAAATAATGTATGAATATAGAATTTACTGATATTCAACACATACAAATACACCTCAAGCGCACACAACACACCAAATAGAATTCCTAAAAGTCACCAAAGCACAACGCAACGTAACGCAACACAACACGCACACCAGGTACCACCAATAACCTCAAACAAACAGCAGTAGCAGCGCACAGAGCCGCTATGTTGCTTATTTGTAGAATCCATAAGCATTTGTAGACCCGTCTCAGGACCCATAAGTTATAGAAAGCCTTAAAGGTTCCATAAGTCTTTTGTTCTAAACACGTTTTGCCGCTATGTACTATTTTATGGAGCCAATAAGCGTATGGATCCCACATCGAACGTTTATGCAGCCGGCCCTTAGTATTAAAAAAAATATACATTTTCCTGTGTATTCCAAAGTGTATTACTCGACCTTCAATCAGATCACAAACCAGTACTAATAACTTTTTCAAACCAATAGAAGAAATAAAATCAAAAACAAATGTAACAGCAAGAGTAAACTGGCCCAAATTTCCATACCTAATGCAAGAAAACTACTTATAACTCAGAAATATTAAATCTACACTAGATCTAGAATTCGAAATCGCAAAATTTAATACAGTTATCAATGAATCATTAAAACAAGTTTCGACACTAAAAACCAGAAATTATGCTATTATAAAACCCATTATAATACGAATATTAAATTTAATTAAATACATGCCAAACCTGAGAAGATATTGGCAAGAAACACGTTGACACTATATCAGATTAAACTAAACAAACTATCGTGAATAGTAAAATTATAGCTAGACAAATTCAGATATTCCAAATTCAGCTCAACTCTGGTCAACAGACAGACGTACCACGGGAGAAAAAAACTGAAATACCTCCCTAAAAATCAATAATACAAAAGCCTATTCAGATGAAGAAAAAACTGAAATCTTAGCTGATCACTCAGAGCAAGTTTTTCGACTTCATCCAATACTGAAGATTATGTTAATGAGCCTCAGGTTTCAGTAACAATGAAAATTAAATGTATCTCTCCATCAGAAGTCTGAAAAGTTATTAGCCATTTAAAAACGAGAATAGCACCGAGGGTGATGGAGTGAACAATAAAACCATAAAGGAACTAAAAAAGTACACTATTAACAATTACACATTACACATATTAAATACGTACACTCACAGCAATATTTAATGCAATCTTACGTCTAAATCACTTCCCAAATGCATGGAAAACCGCCATCAACCTACCTTTTCGCAAACCAGGAACAGATCCTAGATTTAGAGAAAACTAAACACATCAGTTTTCTTCCCAGCACATCAAACATTTTTGATAGATTGTTTCTCAGTAGACTTAATAAATTCCTTCCACAAATAAACGCAATTTCCGATGAGCAATTGGGCTTTAGACCTAACCATTCATACACGCACCACTGAGACAAACGGAAAATATTGTCGGGAGCTATCTCAAAAGAAACACACTGTAGCAGTTTTCTTAGATATTGCACAGGCGTAAGATATGATCTGGCACCCAGGACTAATGTATAAATTACGAAATTTGGGAGACTATAATTACATCCAGAAAATAATCCATAGCTATCTTACAAACAGAATTTCCATTGTAAAAGTCAATGAAACATTATCAACCATTCGAATCATATCAGCAGGCTTACCTCAGGGCTCTGTACTCCCTCCAACACTATTTAATGTTTACACTTCAGATATCCCACATATGCCAGACACCAAATTATCTCTCTTCGCTATGACACAGCCTTATTCACTGCTCATAAAGACAGTCCCATAGCCCAAGATCGGAAACAAAATAATCTAGAAGAACTAATATCGTGTACAGATCAGTGGAGAATAAAAATCTATCCATAAATATGCCATGCCAAAATATTCACAATTCGTAGATCAAAATCACCCCAACTTAAAAATCTGTTGCAGCTTGATTCAATGGAATAATTGCCCAATTAAGTATCTTGGTGTGCTTTTCGATAAAATATTAACATGGAAACCCCTTATCCTTGCATTAGTAAATAAAGCCCAGGAGAAATTGTCAAAACTACACCCGTAATAAATAGAAAATCCTCATTAAAAATTAAATGTCAACTTACAATATTTCAATCAATCATTTTACCATCTTTAACATATGCTTGCTCTGTCTGGCGAAACGCACCATCCTCATCTGTAGAAAAACTTCAGACAGTACAAAACAAATGTCTTAGAATCATACAAGCGCCCTGGTTTATACCCAATTCTCAGATCCATGGGAAGCTACGTATGGATTTAATAAAAAAACACATCTCCACAATTTCGAATTTTTTAT